TGGAAGTTTTTATCTGATGACTTAATAAAAAGTACACGGATTGGTACAATTCTTGGATTTTTATCTCAGGTTTCTATTTTTAATCTTCAAGACAAATGTTTTGTTTGTTTTTAAGCTAGAGATGCTTTACTTTTCTTACTGGAATTCCATTTCCCTTCTTTCATTCATTTACTTCTCATTTATCTCATTCACAGTTCCTGGAGACACCCTAATATCATACTGTGTGGCTATACACACAATTAAGTTTTAAATAATAAAGAAAATGCAATAATAAGAAATTGTGGGCTTTGGGGTTTTGATTTTTTTTAACATTCCAGCATGTAATTGTATAACTCTTCTGGTTTTTTAATTTCTGGCTTAATTGATGGGAAATTGTAAGACTTTAAAAACTGAGTGTGAACAACCTTGACTGTTTCCTGCTTTCTGGGCCCACGTCACTGAAAGCTAAGAAAACAGCTCCACTCGATGGACTAACATCACTTAGAACCTCCTTCTCCTCAACACCGGCCCTTCGCTGTGCGTGTGACTGTGGATTCTCCCTTCTTCATATCCTGCCTCAACTTATCCCTTCCATTCACCTCTTCCCTGTGTTTCTCAGTTTGCCTTGCTGCCACCTTCCTACAGAACACCTGCTTCTCATCCAGACCTTATCACTTCATCCCTGAATTTGGAAATCACCTCTCCGACTGCTTCTCCCTGTCTGCCCTCTCGACTTAGAATCAGGTAACTTCCTAAAACCACTTATATTTCATTTCTGGAGAGAGTCTGCAATATTAAAATTACTTCTCCCTAGAAAAAAAGAGTTGAAAAATTCATAGTTCAATGATCACAACCACCCGCCAAACCCTGTTTTCCCAGCACTAGGTAAAAATCTGTGCCTCTGGTGCCTGCGCTCACCCTGCATGCTGGTTCTCCAGAGGCTTCGCCACTCCCTGTTGCCCTGCACGGGGTGCTGCCCAGGCTCTGAGGGCTGCCTGACCCTGACAGTGTTGGTGCAGCCACACTCATCATGGCACTTGCACTCATTAATGCTTCCAATGCAGCGCACTTAGGCTCACCCATCTGACTCTCCCGTCATCTAAGCCCAGATGTCCTCTCCGGTTCCAACTCCCTCCCAGCCATGCTGGGAGGCTGGTCTCCAGTTTCACAACCTCAATTCCAGCGGCATCTTACATAGGATGCTTTTGCTCCTCGCCTTCACCCACGTAAATTTTGTCACACTCCAATCCCAGTTCAAGTTCCTGTTACCTCCTTGAAGCCCTCCCTGCCTTCTACCCCATAGCAGTTTGCCCCCAAGGCAGCCCTGTGCAGTCCTGGGTGGCCTGGGACAGGATGAGTCAACCGAACTTCAGGAATGCCCTTTGCTGGCTGGCTGCACACACTTTCCTGTTTTCCACTACAGAGCACTAAATACACCACTGGTACTGCCCAGAAAAGGCTTGCAAACGCTTTGAAATCTGCATAATGAAGACAACAGTTATACAGATATGAAGTATTCCGCTCTGTAAGTTTTTTTTCCAACACAAAATGAAGCTGCTCTTCTTTTTAACTTCCTAGGACTCAAACGCCCTCAGGTGCACTTATAAAGTCCAGGGAAGCTTGCGGGATGCACGCGGGGCACTGGCTGAGCAGGAGTGGGGAACAGGTTGCTGATCCTCTAGGCCCCTCCCTCCCTCTGCGGAACTGGCTGCATCATGTTAGGCTCAAGTCACAGGAGGACACAGGACTCTTCCCAGCTTGGCCTACCCTAACTCTAGGCTCTAGCCCCAGTGGGCTCCATCTCACTTCCCAAACATCTCATGCCCTAATACTGGCTTAACTTTGACCTCTCCACCCCTTTCTGCCATGGTCTGTGCGCTGGAATGCCTTTCACTGTGTTATAAGGCCCAGTCCAGTGCTCACCTCTCTAGAAAGCCTTCTCTCCTCTCCCCAAGTGAAGCATGAGCTACCCTCACCTCCTTCATGCTCCTGCAGCCTTTTGAACTCGGTTTTCACTTCTGGTTTTTTGTTTGCTTTTCTTGCTGTTGCCCCTCTCTATACACTGAAGCGAAGATTCACCATTTCGCTTCCTCCTAAGAATGCCTCTTACACCACAACCTCTCACCCCTTGTCCTTGAGTTTCTCAAATACTCAACTTGAATCCTCAGTGCAAACCTGGAAGTCCATGGGAGAGCAAATCGGAGCTGTGAAATCATCCTCACCCCATCACCCATCCCTCGGCCATGAGAAGAAATACATGTGTAATTGCCGAGAACGAGATCTGGAAAACAGTGGTGCTTCAATGAGGCTAATAGCTTCCCTTCTCTCATTGCAGGAAATACAAAGCTTTACATGATGAATTCCCAAGCATTTTAAATGATAATAAAATATTTCCAGCCTAAGCAGATATTCAAATGTGCTGGATTATGAGAGCAACTTTGCTAAGACCTGAGCCTTGGAAAAGGCCTGGAAAATGCTACAGTAAAAGCTCTCTGGACTTTCTCTATGTATTCTTCAATCAACTCGACTGGCACAGGAGCCACTAAATGATGCTAAAGCCACAGTTTTCATGGCCTTCTTGACTTCTTTGCTCTTCAGCCAAATCTCAGCCCCAGTCCCAGCTCTGAAGAGGACCTGTCTGTGAGAGCACCAGCCCAGCCCTCACCAGTATGAATGAGGAGACCCATGTATCCAGAAAAGTACAAGTGACATTTTCAAAGTGACAGTGAGAGCCCTGACCACACTTATTCTCTCTCTTCAAGGCTGCTTGTACCACCACAGGCCATCAGATGGATGCTGTGCACACTCTATTATAGCAAGAGGGCAGGGTGTGTGGTGGGAGACTGTACATGACTCTGCCCTCTGAGAGGGATGCCAGGGCGGTTGGGAAATGCATCTGCTGTGTGCCACACCCTCATCTCCAAGTCCTCCTTGCTCAGTGGGCTCTCAGTTGACAGGTCGGACCTGGGTGACACATCCTTTCTGAGCTCTGTCTTGGAGTGTGTTCCATAGACAGTTTGGTCCTAGGTCCTAAATCCCCCTCCCTTCTGGTGCATCAATCATGTTACTGCCCTTAGGGACACACACACAATCTAGCCCCTCCTTCTAAGCACAAAGACTCCTTAAGTTTAGTTTTCTCAGGGTTTGCATCAGGTTCTTCAAGACAGCCCTTAAAATATTTATTATTTTAGGGAAAGCAGACGTGGCGCTATTATAACTTCAGCAAATAGCTTTGATTCATTTAACTCAATGTAATGAAAGTCCAGTTAAATTTTGATTTTCTAAAAAATTATTTGTATATGTGTTATCTCCAAAAATACCTAACGATTCTCTGTGCATCTACTCCAGCACCTTATGAGGCCACAAGTGTCACTTTTGAACCTGTGGGTTCCTGCAGGAAACGTAGTCAGCCCACCTAGCGACAGCCCGTTCTCCATCTTCCAGTTGGAGTGGAAGTGTTGTAATTTCCAGAGCCTTACTCTGAGCATTTTCAGTATCTAATCAGTATGCACTGAGGAATTTAATTAATTTTCATTTTGTTCAAAGTTAAAATTTAATGCAGTGCTCAGTTGAAAATTAAGATATGTACATATTATAATTTAGTGTGCATTCTAAAGTGAATGATTACCTGGGATTCATTAAATAAGCTACTTCTTTGGTACATGAAAGGAGGTATCAGTGGGTCACATTTCACTCTGGGGAAGGAAAGGAAAATCGATGGAGGGCCAGCCAGGCACAAGACACTGAACCAGGTGTTTTCATGGCCTTCACCTCCCTGAGTCTCACCGTCATTCTGCCAGGTGGCGTCTGTAGGAAGGAATGTGGGACCGTGTGATAATCTGGATATTGCACTGGCCCTGGAATTTCTCTGCTGGTTTTTGTGGGTCTGTGTTTCCCAGGCTTTGGTGAGAGGCACGGGAGAGAGGACACACGGGGAAAGGCTGAACGGCTGGTCTTTTCTATTTAAGGGAATCTCAGAGCACATGCCATAAATTATCCTCTCCTCAGTTTTCCTGACGCACATGAGGAGTCCTGAGTCAACCCTCAGGCTTGGTCCTGTGGCAGCTTTTGTTGTGGGCCACTGTGCTGCCACATGTGTCACAGCCAGACACGGACCAGGTCGTCCCACCCCCCAGGGCTGGCCCCCACCGTCAGTGATCTGTTGCTCCTTCTGGGCAATGGAAGACGCCAGGATGTTGAACACCTGTTTTTTTTTTTTGGATGGAGTCTCACTCTGTCTCCCAGGCTGGAGTGCAGTGGGGCAATCTCGGCTCACTGCAACCTCCTCCTCCCGGGTTCAAGCGATTCTTCCGCCTCAGCCTCCCAAACAGCTGGGACTACAGGGATGTGCCACCACACCCAGCCTGGATGCCTTTTTAAAAAAGTAACAGCATACTTAAGAGTTTCCAAGTTTCCAGGACACCACATTATACCTGACATGCTCGTCTCACCGGACCCAGCCTCTTGGGGAAGAATGTTGGACCTTCATTATTCAGGCCCCTCCTTCCCCAAGAACTCCCTCCCCAACTCCTGTTAAGGATTTTATTATCTTCCACAAAAAATAATTGTATACAATTATTCAATAAACAAAGGACTCTCCCAGCCTGAATCTTTCTCATCTGGAACCCAAGGTGGGGGGGACAGTCACATCTCACTAAGCCACCAAATGGCCACTCTGGGGCATGCCCTTCTTCACAATGCTGTTTTCTTTTTCTTTTTCTTTTTCTTTTTTTCTTTTTCTTTTTGAGATGGAGTTTACTCTTGTTTCCCAGCCTGGAGTGCAATGGCAATATCTCAGCTCACTGCAACCTCCACCTCCCAGGTTCAAGTGATTCTCCTGCCTCAGCCTCACAAGTAGCTGGGATTACAGGTATGCGCCACCATGCCCGGCTAATTTTTTATTTTCAGTAGAGAAGGGGATTGTCCATGTTGGTCAGGCTGGTCTCCAACTCCTGACCTCAGGTAATCCACCTGTCCTGGCCTCCCGAATTGCTGGAATTACAGATATGAGCTACTACGCCCTGCCCACAGTGCTTTTCCATGGCCGCAGTGCCCTTCCCACACCAAGGCCTAGCTGCCTTCCTGATCTCCAGCTTTCTTTTTGGCTAATCTTCCCAGTCCACAAATAGTTGCATCTTAAGAATAGAGCACGGTTCTCGTCCTCGGTTTGACATACTACACTACTGGCAAGGATGTATTCTTGGGACAGCTTTTTAAAGTCTGTCTGCAAAGAGCACCAAGATTAAATGCGTCTCCGCAGCCTGAACGGAGATGGCAATTTTCACAAAGAACGGTCCTGCAGGCCAAGGGGACCACAGCTTGGGCTGAACACGCGTCAGTTGGTCTAGACAGCGACTGCTCTAATTTCGGAAGTGCAGGCGATCAGTAAAGCCAGCGAGCGGCATGACTGTAGCTTCATCTATTGTGGACACGATTAAGTAAGTGAGATATATTTATGAATTCAAAACCGCTTAGTCATTCTTTAAAATCCAAACCGGAACTACTCATATGGTTTCTCCTTTTAAGTTACAAGGTTTTATATCATGTATATGAATGAAATATATTTTACCAAGTGAGAATAGTTTCTTTGTATTTAATTAGAAAATGACAGCATTTTGGTGGCGGTGAATAGTCGACACAGATCGTCTAACTGAATCCTTTCCTTCACTTTTGGTTTTCTGTGTTCCAAGTTTTCTTGTTTGTAATCCTATTGCTGTCTTCATTAGAATATAGAAATGCTTCTATCTTGGCCTGACATTCACTTCTAGCTGCATTATGGGTGTGATTTAAAAAAAAAAAAAAAAAAACAGTTAACTAGGAGACTGTGTTCCTTCCCACACTGTGCCAATGGCGGCAGCACATATGTTAACTCTTTCTAGTTTTGGATGAGAGTGGGTGAATATGATATGTATTGCTGGCCAGATTCTGTGGATTTTTTTTTTAGCACAGCAAATTGATCTAACAAATATCTTCTTATAGTTGTACGATACTCTGGTAGGTAGAAAGAATAACAACCTATCATTTATACCAAAAGGGAACTTTTACATTTTAGAAAAGCACCATTGTGAATATTAAATGGAATATTATACAGCCAATAAAATGAGGTGTATAAAATAAGGTATGTACATTTATATTCAAAATAATAGGAATGATTCTTATTTCTAAAATTATTTTAACAGTAAAAATGCAAACAATTCTATAACTATGCATAGTTATCATAAATACAGAATTACATAATGTTTATATGAGACTATACATGTGCTTGTATGTCTTTCTCACTGTCTCCATATATAAACAGTGATTGCTTCTAGTAGAAAGGCCAGGGTAACCTTTATTTTAAAAATATGCTCTAGAGTTTCTGAATTCTTATGAGGCATCTTATTTTTTAAAAGCAAAATATTATTTAAAATTTTATTTCAAATAAAATATATTTATTTTAGCAGCCCCATGGGCAATAAAGGAATAAAGCAATATTGCCTAGTTTTCTAATTCCAAAGATAGTTTAGCCTTTTGCTTATCCCAAATAATAATTCGTGTGTAATAATAGGGAGAGATATTTCCCAAGAGGTTTAGGAAAGCCTTTTTTCACATGACTTATGACTTTTCAAATTGTCTACAAGATGCAGAGCAAAGGGAAGGATGGAAGCTCCTATCGCTGTGAAAATGCTCCTGTTTCACACTCTACTATACTTTGGCATAGCATAAGCAGCTGCTATAAATGAATTGATATTGTGTCTTGTAACCACAACAATTAGTCAAAAAGTGAAAGGCTCAGTCAGTTCAGTGCTAGGCCTTGGATGTCACTCAGGAGCCCTGAAAGAGGTTAAATGAAGGTGCAGGGAAACTTTATTTTACACACCAGATGGCCTGAGAACCATCTCACTGCATTGCACCGAAGCATGCTTGCCTAAGACTTTCACAACCATTCTTATTTCCTGTCGAAGGCAGATGTGGTTTCCTAAGGATTTGAACTGATGAACTGTTAGGGTGGTGCAAAAGTCATTGTGTAATTGTCATTTTGCCATTGCTTTTAGCGCAATTACTTTTGCACCAACCTAATAGTTGCATGAATATGTATATCTCGCCTTAGCAAGCCAAGTTCCTCTAACTTACTTTCTCTGTTTCCCAGATAGCTACCCGAATCAAACAAACTCCACATCCTTGACATGTGTATACTGTTTTGTTTTGCTTTTCATTGCTGAAAATGTGTACTCTTGTACATAATAGAAGGCACGTCATAGAAATGCATGATGGAAAGTCTCCCATATATGCACCAATAGAACCCGACCCAGAACTCAATTTGTCCCTGCCTGTGGTGGCTGAGGTTGCAATCCTGCCCTCTCCTCTCTGCATCTGCTCTCATCCACCATCAGCTGCAAGGAAGGAAATTAGTACGGGGAGAGGGAACAATGAACACACTGTAATTTCTACAATACACTAACAGTAATATTGTGACAAACAGCTCAGTGCCGTAATTCAGCGCCTCTGAACACTCAAGTGTAGTTGAGAATTAGATCCGCATTTCTTCAAGAACTAACAAAATTGACTTAGGGCATCCCAGGCCTTGAGCACTGTAGGTGCTCAATAATTGTGTATTGAAGGAGCAAACGAAAGAATGAATGAATGTGTGAATGAATGAATGTAGATAGTATATGAGAAAATTCAGGGAATTCTCTCTAAAATATGTTTCAACAAAGCTCTCTATATACCTGTTGTGAAATGTCCTTTTCTTTAATCAGTCATATTTATTTCAAATCATGAGTTACAGAGAAATTTCAGGCACAGTGGTTCACACCTGTAATCCCAGCAATTTGGGAGGCTAAGGCAGGAGGGTTGTTTCAGGCTAGGAATTTGAGACCAGCCTGGACATCATAGTGAGATTCCCATCTTTACCAAAAAAATGTAATAATAATAAGTGGACCAGAGTATATACATGACACAACAATCAGGTTAAATCAGAAGAATCCCTTTAAAAATCAAAGTAAATTTTCCCAAATACATTTTATTGAAGAGAATGGAGTAAAGCATTTATAAGATTGTTAGAAGATTCCAAATTTAAAACACAAGCAAGTTCCTCAGAAACAAAAGTATACTCCTAGCTCACCCACCTTTTACATATGTATTTTCCAGTACAACATAGCCCAGTGAAGACTGCATTTAGAATGGCAGTTATAACAGTATATGGAAAAAAATAGAATAATTGTGGCTTTTTTTACAGTTAATGCTGCTTTTAAAGTAGAGAAAATTCAATAGCAAGAGCTAAATCAAGCAGGTAGCACATAAGCTATAAAGTAGGCAATCTTCAAACAAGCTCTAAACAATATTGTTAAATATCATTTGAAGTATTTATATATCAATTTTCCTATAAAAGCATATAAAGATAGAAAAAGATAAATTAGATGCAGCATTATAATTAATAACAAAACAAAAACTACTGAAAAAGTTATTTTATCTAGATTGAAAAATACTTTTTAGATACATTTAAAATTTAGGTCCTTATTAATTTTATGTAAAACGATATAAATGCTTAAGTGTTCTTTTTTCTTTTTCTTTCCCTTTTTTTTTAGATAGAGTTTTGCTTGTGTTGCCCAGGCTGGAGTGCAAGGGCATGATCTCAGCTTACCGCAACCTCCACCTCCCAGGATCAAACAATTCTCCTGCCTTAGCCTCCCAAGTAGCTGGGATTACAGGCATGCACTACCCTGCCCAGAAAATTTTGTATTTTAGTAGAGATGGGGTTTCTCCATGTTGGTCAGGCTGGTCTCTAAGTCCTAACATAAGATTATCCATCTGCCTCAGCTTCCTAAATTGCTGGGATTTACAGGTGTGAGCCACCATGCCCAGCAAGTGTGCTTTCTTAAAACAATGTGTATTCAGGAATACCATAAGTCAAGAAGACACTGATTATATTTAGATAGAAAACATAATTGAATGCTAAGTCTTTCCAAACTATAGTCACGTCAGTTCAGCCTGGCACTTATATTTTGCAATACAGTTTTCCGGAAAATACCTAAAACCATGTTAGAATATGAACTCATAAATCAGAGCTCGCATAACCTCAGCAGTAGCACCGAGAACACTGCAAATATCACAAATGTGTTGCCTCACGATGGGCACGATAAACCCAACTGAGGTAGTGAGGTTGACGCAGATCCTACGCAAATATGGGAAAGAGGACCTTCTCCCTAACCTTTAAATCCTTACGTAAAGTTTGCTGTCTTGTACAATGTTATCCTTAATATGAAAATAACACCTACTCATGTAAAAACTTATTGGAAAATTGAAAAGCGAGAAGGAAGAAAAGCTTGCCTTTGGTACGCAGACCCTTTCTTTTTAAAGCCACATTGGAATCACACTGCCCACAATTTCATATTTAGTGGACCTTTTACTTTAACATTATATGGTTAGCATTCCTTATGATATTAAATGCTCTCTGCAGACAGAAATCACAACGCACATAACTCTTCCCTACCCTTGGACACTTAGGTGGTTATCGATCTTTTGAGATAATAAATAGCATTACGGTGAATGATAACGGAAATGTTACATTACACCATCAAATTAAAAGCACAGCACAACGTGCAACCGGGCACGATTCCATCTGAATCTCATTGATTTTAGACAGCAACATTGTTATAAATCCTGGGTGCATGCATTCAATTTTTCATGTTCCAAAAACTTACTAAGTGTGGCTTTGAATGCCTTCCCGGATGTCACTGATCAAGTTGCTGGAAGGTTGAAAGCAAAGAATGCACCAGGGCACGTCACCAGGGTTTCATCGGGATTCATTTGAATACATTAACCAATGTGTGAAACAAAACCCCTTTCTGGAGGTGGCAGGGAGCCGAGATTGCACCACTGCACTCCAGCCTGGGCGACAGAGTGAGGCTCTGTCTCAAAAATAAATAAATAAATAACATCTTCCTCTTGTAGCAATCAGCTCATACTTTCCCTTCTAGTACATGAGCAGGTAGTAAACATTTTATCAAAAAGCTGATGGAAAGCTAGGTAATGGTGTGACCGTCACTTCCCCAATGATCAAAAAGAATGACCTATATTTAGCACAGAGGAAATGTCTTTCAATTCCTAATGATCACCTTTTTATTTATGCATGCTCATTTATAAGCCATCAGCCGAGGTAGATCACTTAATGCTTCAGTTTGGAAAAGGGAAAAAAATTTAAAAGGAAAGAAATACGAAACCAAAATAACAGGGCCTAAGAAAGAGAAGTTGATTTCCCCTGCAGGCTAACAGTCCTCTTTGGTTAGCTTGGAATTTCAGGATGCCCTGCCCTTATGTCCTTTCCTTGTCTACAGGTGCTTCTGCCACAAGTAGCAGGGAAGAGTGGGCTCAGGGTCACCCCCCAGCAAGTGAGGGATTTCACCCAAAACGGACATGTATCACCTGGCTCTGCCCTCAGGGTCATTACCAAAGCAAA